TGAAAAGAAGAAAAAAAAGCAAAAATATGAAATTATTAAAGAAATTAAACTAAATGAAATAAATGATATCTAATTAAATTATTTAAAACAATTGAAATTAACTAAATGAATTGAAATGATAAAATTAAGAAATTTTTTTTTTCTTTTCTTTTGTTAATTTAAAAGAATCACACAAAATAATAATGAACAATTAATTTCCTTACACATTCCAGGCGAATTTTAATGATAAACTTTAAAGTTATCATTTCACTTCTTTAGCTTCTTCCTCTTCCTTTTCCTTTTTGCACAGATGATGATCTTTTTTTTTAATGCAAAAAGAGATAATTGTAAAGTTTCAAATTGAGAAATATCTTTCTTTACTACATTTATTTTATCAATAAAAATTACACACAAAAAAAGAAAGAAAAATAAAAATTTTAAACAAAAAAAAAAGCGAAATTTTTATTCAAAGTAATAGTATACTAATTAAAAATTCTTTTAATATAATCTAAAAATTTAATCAAAAAAAAAAATTAATTTTTTTTTTATTTTGAAATAAGCGATGAGTAATACTAAAATGATAAAATATAATTGAAAATTGCAACAATTAATGATAATTATACTCTTTCTAACATAATATTTATTTATTAAATGTAATTTTATATTTTATTTTTAAATAGTAAATAAATGCTATTAACTCTTAAAGTACGTTTTATTGAATCATACATTTTTCTCTTTTTTTTTGTAATATATTTTGTTATATACACTCAAAATTTATCACCGTACATTCTATTCGTCTAGCTTATCACATACAATTGATAAAAAAAAAAAAATGCAAACTAAAAAAAATTAAACAACAATCTTCAAATATATCTTTAAGAAATGCAAAGTGTTACAATTTACTAAATTTAAATAAAAATTTTTAATAAATTCTTTTTTTTGAAAAAAAATTTTTTTTTTATTAACAAAATTCTATTTTACGATTATTTCTTACTAAAGTAAGAATTAAATAACACAGATATTTTACATTATTCATATTAAACGATTTGAACACATTTATGATTCTAACTTATTCGTTTTATTAATTTACTGAAATATAATTTAATAATTTTGTACAAAATTTTTAATAAATGAAATTCATTGCATTCATTGCGACTATTTCATATATATATTGTTGCATCAGAATAGAATTTCTTTAATTCTTTCATTTTCCAAAAAAAAAAAAAAGAATTCTTTTAAAAGAAGTAATAGGTATAGCAAAGTAAAAAAGATGAATGACATTTTAGAAAAAAAAAATATTCATTAATCATTTAAAAAAAAAAATTACAAAGAATTATCTCGCAATGATACACCAAAATTTAATGTTTATGATAAATTTTAAATTATCAAATATTTCAAAAAAAAAAATTGTCATTTATCACTCTTTTTTATCCGTTTCAAATTATCCGATAAAAGAAACTATTGAAAAAAAAAAAATTATTTTATTAAAATATAGTAGTAGAAATTTTCCAAAAACATTAATTATTTGTTAAATGTTACGATGTGATTCAAAAAAAGTTCTAAATCTAAAAAATAAAAATTTAATAAGCACAAAATAATAATCAATGTTTTTAATGATAAAATGATAATAATTTTAACAAAATATTTATTTACTTTTTAATTGCTATATTATTACTACTTCAATAGCAAATTATAACTGATTTAACTATCCTTTTTTGTTCTCTCCCTCTGCTTTTTTCTACTTGAAACTATAAAAGAATGACAAAAATAAAAATATTAGTAATATATTAAAATAATTTTAAATTGCTAAAAAAAGAAAAACAAAGATTGACAAAGAGAAATGAATATAATAATATGAATTTAAAAATGTCACTTATTTTGGTAAATGTACTAAAATGGTAATTATAGAAGGGCGAAGAAGAGAGATTCAATAATACGAGTAATAGGTAGAGTAAGATGAGAAAAGATGAAAGAGAGAGAGGGAAAGAGAAGGAAGAGAGAGGGACAGAGAGAGGGGAGAGAGAGAGTTTTCATGTGTTTTTCAAATTGTGAAAAAAGAATTGAAATAGAATCAATATGAACGGAAGAATGAAAGAGCAGTTAACCTTTTCTCTTACCCATTTCCAAAATATACCATCATCCATCCGTAAAAGAATTTAAAAATTTATCATCCTTTCAGCACATTTATATTACCCATTCATTCATCAGAGCAAAATGAGAGAGAGAGAAAGGGAGAGAGAGAGAGAAAGAGAGAGAGAGAGGGAAAGAGGGAAAGTGATAGTTATTAATTAGCAATTGACAGGTTACTTTTTCTTTTTCATTACTAATAACAATAATAATGAATTTTTACAACTAATATTTTGTCAACATCTAATCAAATGCTATTAAAGATTAATTTAATTTAATTTAGCTTATTTCAATTTATCATTTTTATCATATCATTAATTTCAATTTCATTACTGCAATATGAAATGAAGCATTTATATCATTTTAATTTTTTATTAAATAAATTATTATTCCATTTTGGAAAACTTTAATTATTAAATAAATTAATGGTCAGCGAATATTACCATATGATATAGTATATAATAAAAATGCTTTTTTTTTTTAAAAAAAAAATTACAATTAGTATGGCTCTAATTAAATTATTTAAATTTATTTATTTTTACTTTTCTAAAATAATTATAGCTAAAAATGAATTCAATATAAAAGAAAAATTTGAAAACAATCATTTCAATGCAGAAGATAATATTTTAACAATTTATAATCAATAAAATATTACTATCAGTTGTTATTATTATGATTAATTGTGCATACGAGTAATAAATTGAAATATATTTTAAATTTGTAAAAAAAAAAAAAAAAATTACACAATTCTATTTCAGAGGATTTTAATTTAAATTACACAATTCTATTTCGAAGGACTTTAATTTTATGTCAAATATGAAATATTATCATTTTTTTTTCCTTTTGCACTTTTCTGCGCTGTAATAATTTATCCCAAATTTAAATATTTTAGTAATATGTTAGCATTAAAAATTCATTCAAACAATTAATTAATGATAAAAATTCACAAAATTTATAATTTATTTAAAAAGTTCATTAACATCTTTTACTAGTTTTAGTGAAAAAAAAATGATAATAATTAAAAATAAAATTAATTTATAATTTTTGAATTTTTTTTTTTCTATACAAACCATTCGTTCAATAAAAAATTGGAAGTTTTACTACTTTTAAATGATAATTTTTAGTTTTTTTTTTTTTGCAATTTTCTTTTATCTTTTATTTCAATTATTAAATTTAACAATAATATTTTCAAAACATTTTAAATAATCAAAGAAGCAATCATTTTTAAACAAATGTCACAAATTCGTGAGAGAGATATATATTTGTATGCAAACTTTAACATTTTTTTTCTTTTGCTAACTTAAAAAAATTCAAATTTTTACTTTTTCCATCTTTCTCACCTTTTTTTCTTCTTTTTTTTTTCATTTTCCTTACATATGTATAATTGTTTCCGAATAATTAATATTCGAAAATTGTATTTTTCGTTTCTTTTTTTCTTACCTAAATTTTTCTTTTCAAAGAAAGCAAAAAAAAAAGAAAAAAGGAAAAATTGATTTAAATTTATTTTTTTCATTTTTCATTTTTTTTTTTTTGGTATAAAAATATTTTGCTTAAATCATTCAAACAAATTTTCTTATTTCCGATCGTCCTTCAATGTTTCTTTTATGAATTTCATATCCGTTTTCTTTTCTTTTCACTTTCTTTTTTTTTTTTTTATAAATTAATTCTTTCACTTACTTTTGATTTTTTTTTTAATTTTTCCTTTTTTTTTAATTTTCTTAAATTCCTTCTTTTCTCTCTCTCTCTCTCTCTCTCTCTCCTTTTTCTTCTTTTTCCTTTTTTTTTTCTTTCAAATGTTTTTGTTAAAAATGCCAGCAATGCGAAATATTTTTGTTCAGCGATGGTTATAACTTCATATGTTTACATTTTTAATAATTTCATTCTCTATCAATTTTATCACTTTCAAAAAGCTAAAGAGAGAGAGAGAGAAAGAGAGAGAGAGAGAGAGAAGAAGAAGAAGAAAGCGATTTCATAAAACTCTAAAATTCTAAGTTTAAATAAAAGTTTATTAGAGCATCATTTCCAGTTATTTACGTTCAATAATATCAACGATTTTATTGTTTTCTTTTATGAATTAAATAAACAGTTTATTTCATTTAATGAATTTTCATCATTTTATTTTTATTTTCTATCACATCTTACTTTGATATATTTATGTTAGTTTAAATTATATAAAGAATTTAAAACTACTGCGTTTAAATTTTAATGATAATGAATTTGTTGAAGGAAAAAGAAGAAATAATAATTACATAAATTAGAGTTTTTTCTTTTTTTTTATTTCTTAAACTTAACTAAATCATTGCCATCTTATCGTATAACAATGAATTCATGAATTATAATTAAAAACTGTTCATTTTTCGTAAATTTAAATACATATCTAAATGTTTATTGGATAGTTGCAAGAAATGGAATTCATATTAAAAAGTAGAAATCAAAGGAAATAAGCTAAAAAAAAGAGAGAAATGTGTACTTTAAAACCTTAAATAACTTTTTAGGATTAAAGAATTAAGATTAAAAATCATAGATATACTTTAATGCTTTCCGGAATTTTCTCGATCTAAGTACTTTATGAATGAAATAGTAAAAGAATAAATTGCTGTAAACTGTAACGAAATAAAGCGATAAATCTAAAATGACACACACACACACTTAAAAAAAAAAAACGGATAATGTACATTCCGGTTGAATCATGAAATTTCAACGAAATTAGCACTAAAACTTTTAGAAATTGTCTGTGATCACATGTTTGTTTTTTTTTTTTTTTTTTTTGGAGAAATCAATTTTACCGCATTATTTATCGTTTAGAGCTGAAACAATTGTGTCGAATAAAATAGTTAAAATAAAATAAATCCGGAAAAAAAAAGCAAAATACATATTTCACTGCTGATTTCAAATTAAAATGAAAAGCTGAAAATTACTGGAAAATGCAGAATGAAAATGAAATGTAACTTACAAGTAACCATCGATTTAGATGGTTCTTTTTGTACTGGCGGATGACAAAGCCGCTCATCGGAACCATCGGAGCAATCCGTTTTCCCGTCACATTGCGCACTCTTTTCAATGCATTCACCGCTAGCACACTGATATTGCTCGATGCTACACGTTGTACCTGCTTCAACCACGTCATAGCGTTCACGTGCGTCTGCTTCCGTGTAAAAATCCTTCTCTATCTGAAATTAATTACATGTAATTATAAATTATAGGAATTGTATTTAACTTTATAAATTATTGCATGGATTATAGGAATTTTAATTTGTAAGAATTGCATGGATAATTGTGGGAATTGTATAAATTATAAGAATTTTAAATTGTAAGAATTGAATAAATTATAGCAATTGCATAAATTAACTTACAGTGATTGTAAATTATTGTAATTGCAATAAATTATAATAATTGCATGAGTTTTAGGAATTTTAATTTATAAGAATTACATAAATTATAGGAATTTTAAATTATTGTAATTTGTAAATTATAAGAATTTCACAAATTATAGGAATTACATGGATTATAGGAATTTTAAATTATAAGAATTTCACAAATTATAGGAATTACATGGATTATAGGAATTTTAAATTATAAGAATTGCATAAATTATAGGAATTACATGGATTATAGGAATTTTAAATTATAAGAATTGCATAAATTACAGGAATTGTATTTAATTTAAGTTTACAAATTAGAAGAATTATATGCAAGTTTATAAATTATAGGAATTGTATTTCAGTTTACTGACCTTCTAAATATTGATATTCATTTCTAATTTATAAAAAATCAGAAGAAAAATTAATTGTGCTAATTTTTTTATGCAATGGTAAATTTGATCAATGTGTGAAAGCAAACTTAACCGATGGTTCATCTAAGGTAATATGTTAAACTGAAAATCAACTCAAAATTAATTTGTAATTTATAATTAAACACTATGATCATTGGATTGAAAATGAACAATTATAATTTTGATTACAAATTGATTGAAATTAATAATAGCAAATTATTAATCTTTTAAAATTTTCACAAAAATTATTAATATAAAATATTGAAAAAAAAAGTTTAGAAAAAATAAAATATAAAACGCTGATTATTATTTCATTGAGCTAACACTAAATGATTTAAAATTAGCATTAATGATTAATGAAATTTGAATGAGTGAATGAATGAAGAAAAAATTACGTTTCTGATTATTTACAAAATCCGGAAAAGTCATAAATTTCACAATGAGCTATAAATTATTTAAATAGATAATTTAATTTAATAATTTAATAAATTTAAAACATTTGTTAACTTACCTGATTATCCTTATCCAAACCGTAATGTTCGAGCTCTAATCGTCGCTGTTTCTCATCTTCCTTAATTCGAACTCCATCTATGGTTAATTGATGTTTCTCATATTCATCTTTTCCTCTTTCCTTTTCCGGTTTCATTTCCTGATCAGTTCTTGATAATTCCTCTAAACGTCTATGATCTTCCTCCAAACGTCTACGATCTTCCTCCAAACGTCTACGATCCTCTTCCAAACGTCTACGATCTTCCTTCTCTTCCTCCTCTTTCCGTTTCCGTTCCAACTCCTCTTCCTCTTCCGGTTGTCTTTGATGTTGTTCCTCCTCTTCATAACTTTCCTGTTTCTTATCAAAAATTTCATGTCCCTCATCTTCCTCAATTTTTTCTCCTTTTTCCTGTCGTCTTATTTCTAACTCTTGTCTAATCCTTTCCTGTTCCTGTCGATTCCGTTCATCCTGTTCCTGTCGACTCCGTTCATCCTGTTCCTGTCTATCTTCTTGTCCCTCTTCATACTCTTCCCCTTTTCTTTGCTGTTCAATTTCTTGCTTTTGTCTCTCGCTTTCATAATATTCTTGCCTTATCCTTTCTTGTTCCGCTCTTTCTCGTTCCTCTTCTCGTTGCCGTTGTTCTTCCTCTTCTCGTCTTCTCTCATGCTCCTGTCTTTCTCTTTCTTGCTCTTGCCTCAATATTTCCTGATGCTCTTTCTCCTGTTTCAACCTTTCTCGTTCCTCTTCTCGTCTCCTCTCATGCTCCTGTCTTTCTTGCTCTTGCCGTAATCTTTCGTGCTGCTCTTCGTCCTGTTCTTTCTGCTGTCTCAACCTTTCTCGTTCTTCTTGTTGATGATGTTCCTCCTCTCGTCTTCTCTCATGCTCCTGTCTTTCTTGCTCTTGCCTTAATCTTTCCTCTTCTTCGTGTTGTCTCTCGTGTTCCTCTTTTCGTGTACTTTCCCATCTTTCGTGTTTCTCTACATCCTCCTCCTTCCCATACTCTTTCTCTCTCTGCTCAGTCTCTTGTCTTCGTCTTTCATTTTCATAATATTCTTGCCTTATCCTTTCATGTTCTGCTCTTTCTCGTTCTCGTTGTTCTTCTTCCTCTCGTCTTCTCTCATATTCCTGCCGTTCTCTTTCTTGCTCCTGCCTCAATATCTCTTGCTGTTCTTTCTCCTGCTTCAATCTTTCTCGTTCCTCTTCTCGGCGGCGCTGTTCTTCCTCTTCATGACTTCTTTCCTGTTCATACCGCTGTCTTTCTTGCTCCTCTCTCAATCTTTCCTGTTCCTCCTCCTGTACCTGACCGTACTCCTGTTTTCCGGTTGTCGTGGCATAAATCGGTATTATTTCATCAGGATGCATCGTTGTACCTCTTGCTTGTTGCAGAGCTTGTACAAAATATTCTAGAAATTATTAATTTAAAATGAAAAAAAAGAAAAATTCATAAAATCATATTTGCCATAATCTCGACAACATTTTAGAATATTATCAAAGTTAAAATGATTTTTTTTTTGCAATAACTGAAATAATTTACTGATATAAATTAAGTTATTCATTAATCAAAATTTTGAAATCATTGGTCAAAAATGAAACTAAATGATTTGTTAATAAAATTATTAAATTATTAACATACCACAGGTAATCTCATCTGTACCATCATCGCAATCATATTTATGATTACAATGATCAACCTGTGCAATGCATTTTCCATTTTCACAACGAAACTGATCCGGTTGACATGATCCGGCAGCTATTTCACTTACTGATTCGCTATGATCATTTGCTAATGTAACCAATTCATCCTCACCACAATTCATTTCATCACTACCATCACCACAATCGTCAATACCATCACATATTTTCATATAATGAACACATAATGTTCTCCGTAAATATGGACATCTTAAAAATTTAATTTAAATTATGGAAATTAAAATAATTGTAAAAGAAAAAGAAAAAAAAAATTAGTGCTATTCAAATGCGTAAACATCATTGCAAATAAATAATTATTTATCTTTTTCTTTCTCTCTTTCTCTCTCTCTCTCTCTCTCTCTCTTTCTACAAATATTAAACATATATGATATGATGGATAATAATACTTTGAAAAATATTCAAAAAAGTTTTTTTAATCAAAATTTTATCTGCAAAAAATGAATTTGAATACAAATTGCGCTAATATTGGAAAATAGATGTAATTTTATCTTTTATTATGTAAATTGAAATATTTGCAAGAAAAAATTTAGTGTCATTATTATATTTTAAATTTTATCTTTTCATAACAATGCAAAATAAACAAATTTATAGAATTATTATAGAAATGAATAATGAATAATTTCATCTTTTATCATAAAAATTAAAAATAATACTATCGTAGTAGTTGAAAAGAAATATTTAATCTTTTATCATATTAATAAACTGATAAAATTATTCATTTATATAATTTTATCAGCTTGTTATCAAAATTTGTTGCATTTTCTTAGGGATAAAAGTAAATGAATTATTAATTTGTAGATTTTAGAAATGAATTATTAATCCTCTATTCTAGTTAAGCTATTATGATAATGATATGATATGATAAAATAAAATTTTAATCGAAATATTTTCACAAAAAACATTTTTTCATTTTGGAATTACTAATCAGTGAAATAAATGAATGAGTGAAAATGCTGACCGGAATTCCTGATCCGAGCATTCCTCCGTATCTTCTTCATCTTTTTCATCAATTCCATTACTATTCTGGTTGCTATGTGATGTTTCATTTGTTTCATGTCTTATTTCTGCTTTACCATAAGTAATTCCGGAATGGTAATTTTCATATTTTGCTTCATTATGCCGGAATAAATTGCTAGCACCGCTGTCATATGATGAATCACCATTTATTGCTGCTGCTGATAAGCTTTCCGATTCATAATTTGATCCATGATTAAGCACATTTTCGTCATCTAATGACAATTCTTGTAAATTATTCGTCCTGTCGTGTTCTATTCCGGTAATACGACCGGTTAACTCTTTAAATTGATGATTTTCAGACGTATCATAACTCGAAATGTCATTACGCTTATCACTATTGTGATAATTTTCATTTCTGTCATTATCATTAATTGTATTGGTCATGTAACTGTAACTGTTTCGCTTATCATTTCCAATCTTTTTATCACCATTATGACCTCTGATAGCTTTGTCATGATTATGCCTGATTTTATTATTAGCAGTATGACCATTATATTGTCCTGTTTTATGATAATCAGAAGAAAAATATCGATTATCACTTCCATGCTTATTCTGAAATTTCTATCTATTATGAATAATTTCTGATTGATAAATATTTTAATTTCCACAATTATCAGTTAATAAAGAAATATTCGTTTATATGAAATTATTAATTGTACAAGTTATCATCCTGAATAGCTCAAGTAGCATCTTTTTCTTACTTAACACATATTTTATTAGTACAGTTAATTTCACACCTATAATAATAGCTTTAATATTTTTTATAAAAAAAAATTTTTTTCTTGTTTAAAATTTCTGGATAAATTACTTGAAATATAATATACAAAAAAAGATAAGTAATATTATTGAGAAAATAATCAATAACTACATTTTCATGCAACGATCTGAAATTTATAAATCTATGCACTCTCAAAAATTTATTTCTATTCTGTAATTTTAAAATAATTTTAATAAATTATTTAAGAATAGTAAAATAAATCCGAAATACAATACTAAAGCAATTAAAAAAGTACCTGATTTCTTGTAACTTTTTCAAATTTATTATTAATTTTAGCATTAGTAGCACCTGTCGATGCGAAATGAGCTTGTTGAGCAGCAATGAAATATTCTAAATGAATTTTAATAATTATCACAAACAATTTATTTTTGGAAATCTTATCATTTCTAAATTCTAATTATTACTTTCAAATTCAAACATAGGTTTGCTTCATTAGTTCATTGAGGAATGTATTTTTTTTTATCAATTGAAAAGTTATCATTTTAAAAAATTTTTTTTCCAAAAATTTTTTTTTTAGAGAAAAAGCAAAAAAAAAAATATGTACGAAAATTTCTAATTAAACAATAAAAAATTTTTAGGTGTATAAATTTTTTAAAATTGTTGCAAATAAATATTGCAAAAAAAAAATTGAAATTAAAAAGAAAATGAAATTATTGAAAAAATATACAGTGATAAAAATATAAAAAATCTAAAGTTAATATAAATATTTAACACAAACAATACTGCTAATATATAAATGAATCTCTCTTTTTTTCAATTAAAATTAAAAAAAAAATGATTTTATTACTATTCTAATTTCTTTTTTTGACATTAAACTTTTTTTAAAATATTATATTAACTTTTTTAAGTAATATACTCTAAACAATATTTATTTATAGTAATTGGTTTATAAATTTATACAATAGTTACTATATAGTATTGTATTTTATTTCCCTTTTTTTGTTCTTTCTACTTTTTTTTGTTCGTTTGATATTACTTTTTTTTCTAAGTATTACTTCAAATTTATTATTAAAATTTAAAAAAAAAAAAATTAAATTAAAAACAAACCACATTTCATTTCATCACTACCATCAGAACAGTCATAGTGTCGATTACACGCTTTTTCACGTGGAATACATTCACCAGAATCACAACTATAATAATTTGTACCACAATTTCCTTTTATCGATCGTTTTTCACTACCTAAATTTAAATTAAAAATTTTTCAAAATTTGAAGTTTGACACGATAGATATAATATATATAACAAAGAAAAAATATTTTATAGAATCGTTTTTTTTTTTCTAATATAATAACAAAAAATTGTTAATAACAAGGAAATTACAAATGCATATGCAAAAGAAAATTGAAAGTTCAACAAAAGTTGAAGGTTAAAGGTTAGTCTTTGTTTAATAACAAAAAAAAAAAAACATTTAAAAAATTTTTCTTTGTTTATTCTTGCTATAATTAATTAATTTATTAGCAGCATAATTTCTAATGGATGAAAAAGTATATACATATAACTATTTAATGTTTATATATAAAAGTAAACTGTAATTTTGTTGAAGGTTAAAGGTTAATGTATTTAACAAAAAAAAAAAAAAAAACATTTTATAGTATTTTCTGTTGCCGTATTGTCTGCTGTTATTGTAATTCCAACATTTTCATTGTGTACAACTTTAAATGAAATTTTAATGCTTTTCTTTTACACATAAAATTTGAGCTGTACCATATTTTAAATCAAAAATTATTTTCATTGTTTTAAGAGAATAACAAATTTGAAGTTTCTAATTACATACAAAAATTAGAAATGCAATAGCTAAAATTTGCTTAATTTCTTTGGATTTTTTAACTTTAGCAAAATTATACCATTAATATTATTTTATTTACTTTAAAATGAAAATTTTGTAAACATTGCTTATCAATCTAAACAGATTATTTCAGTGATAGAAATTATTAATAAAAATTAATAATTTTGTAATTTAGTACTTTTTTGGTTTTTTTAATTAGTTTCTTTTATCTATTTTGCATATAAGTATAATCATTTGTGTGTGTGTGTATGTGAGAAAGTGAACTAATATTTAAATTACTGAATTGCATCATTTGTACATGGCATATTTGTAAATGACATATTTAAACAATTTCAAATTTTAAGAATTATCTAAACTAGTTTATACTTCAAAGAAAAATTGAAAAAAGATTAAATTTAAAATTAATTAAGCTCATTAATAATTAAAACTATCAATTTTCAACTGTTTCAACAAAATGATTAGAAATGTAAATTTAAAGGGTATTATTAATTGATGAACTTAGTGAAAATGTGATAAAAAATTTTCAATGAAATCAAAGATCAAAAAAAAAAAAATTGAACTTCAAAGGAAAATTGAAAAAAAAAGTTTATTAACGTTGACATTAAATCTGTTACTGGATTTTTATAAAAATTATTATTTAATTAATTAATTTAACAATGTTTATAAACTATTTTAATCATTAATAAAATAAATTTATATTTTTATGCAGTGTAATAAGTTAGAAATGATAAATATACATAAGAAAATCACTAATTACTCATTGCCAATTAACTTATTGTTGTAGGTTAGTAATAAAAAGTTTATTCATTAAGTTTTTTTTTACTTTAATTAAATCAATTACTTAATTTTCTTCATTTTATTCATTAATTACTTTAATACAGAATCATTATTATACTATAAGCTAATATTATTAATTAATTTAATGTATCACTTTTAGCTCATTTATCATTTAAAATTAATGATAGTAATTTAATTTAATCTAGCAATATCATTTCTATTTAATAATTTAATCTAGAAATATATTTTCAATTTAAATTCACCATTTTATCAATATCTTTTTTAAACCAGTTTATTATCATCATCTGGTTTACTCTGATATTTTCACTGATAACTTAACAAGATAAGGACTTGATAATAATGTTGTGCCGGAATATCACTTCAAAATGTTTCATTTTACTCTATCATCTAAAAAAAAAAAAAAAAAAAAACAAAAATGGAGAGAAAAGAAAATTGTTGGTAAGTTTATATTATACATAATTTAATAATATAATTAATAAAGATTAATTAATTAATTAAGATACAACTATTTCTTAATTATATAATATATAAATATGGCAATGAAATTATTATACTAATATTTGTTGCAGCATTTATTTGCTATAATTTAAGAACTAAATTAACTATAAATATTTATTCAAATTAAAACCAAGAAAAAAAAATTTGTAAAAATTTGGATTAAGAAAAACATTTTAAATTTACGAAATTTATAATTACTAATTGGAAGAAATTTCATATTTTTTATGCATATGTCGCCACAATGGCGAAGCTATAACCTAATGAACAAAGGCCATTGTTTTAAATGATTTTAATCCACTTCGTAACCTTAACATCCATAAAATCCCTCCCAATTTTCTTCCTTACAAAGCCATTCAATATTGTTCCTTGTTTGCTATGGCTCGGTTGCGAGGTGTCTAGCTTGCTTATATCTTTAAATGTTTTGTAATTAAGTTACATTTGTGTGTTATGTATCAATTCATTGTTGTAATGTTGTATAATATTTATTGTTAATCTAAGGTTTAATTACCCAAGTTTGAGGTTTGAATAATTAAGTATTTCACGAAGACTCCCACAGTACACGTACACTGAACGGAACCAGTACAAATTCGAGATTCTACCAGTATCGAGGACAGAGAAGTCAACGATCTGAACCATCAAGAAAGGAAGCTACTTTGTTTCACAAGGAAACAGGGCAGTAAGAAAGAAATTCTAAATTTGCTTTTATAGCATATATTATTATATATATTAATCATTGAATTTAAATTCTTTTTTCTTTCTTTTTTTAACTTTTATACAATTTCTCAATTGGCCTTATTGTAAAATATGTCCTTGAAATTTCATTGATAAGTGATTAAATCTGTTAATTGATGCATAATTATTTGATTATAATCATTGAAATTGTGTGGCTAATTTTAAGAGATATTGAAAAAGTTGAATAAAATAAATCCTTTAAATGTATTTGTAAAATGTGCTACGACAAAAAGAAAGAGAAAGAGAGAGAGGAAGAGGGAGAGAAAAAGATAAAGAGAGAGAGAATAGGTCGAATGTATGAATCGAATTGTAATTTCATAAAAATCCTTGGGAAATTTCCTGATGCATACAAATGATACAATCAAATAGGAAATAATGTCCTAATTTTAAAATGTTCATTCTGGTGACACAATGATACTGCGACTGTCGTCCGATGTCTCTTCAAATCTTTTATTGTCATTTTGATATTATTTTTAAAATATAAATCAGCAGAAAAAAATCCTTTTTTTTTCCTTTTATCTTTTAATCAATTGATTTTTTTTTCATATAATAATTTTAGTAAAACGAATTAAAAATTCTCTTTAGTTAAGAAAAAAAAAGTTAAATTAAATACTTGATTTTTTTTAAATAATTATTAATGAATAATGCTAGCTTTTTTTAAGCAAAAAAAAGGTAAGAGTTTTATTTCAAAAAAATTAAATATAAAATGAGTTAATTTTTTTGTTAAATTTAAAATTAATGATTAAATTTATTCTTATGAAGCTAAAACCTAAAACAGAATAAGACTTTTTTTTTTATTAAACATAACACTAGACTAATTTTTTTTTTATAAAAAAATAAAATCAATTAAATAAATGATTTTTTTTTTAAATCTAAACTATCGAATGTGTGTAATTTGTTAATTAAAATATAATTAAAATGAAAATATTATGATAAATTCAAATTTATAGAATAAGATACTGAATATATTATCTCATTCATATTATCAATGACTATCACTGATAACCAATCAAAAGTGATGACAAAACGACGAATTCTATTTCAATATCCGGCACTACCGACAATTGAACTTGGCCTTTGCTACATTATTGTTGGCTGTAGTATGATTTATGCATGGAGCCAAGTGCTAATTGCTAGTAATAAATACGAATTTCAATATTGGCATTCAATACGAATTAATCGATTACCTTTAATTGGTGAACGATATATGGTACTTTTTCTAATTTTACTTACTTTTTAATATTTTTTGATTAATGATTGCATGAAAAATTAATTTAATTACTCTAATATTAACAAACTAAACGATACGATAAATCAAAGATCACATTGATTTTGTATTGATAATCGTTGAAAAATTTGATCGATTTACAATTTAATTAATGAATAATTGTAATATGATAATTTTATCATTGTTATCATTACTACTACATAATAGTACTTTCTTTTCCTAATTTTGCGTACTTTTTTTTTCTCGTTTATATTTTTGTATTGGAAATTTTTTAAATGGTTTTATGAAAAATTAATTTAATTACTCTGATATTAGTGAGCTAAACGATACGATACGATACATTGATTTCATATGGAAAATCATTGAAAATTTTGATCATTACTTAGTGAACAATTACAATATAATAACTTTATCATTGTCATCATTACTAATACTACTGCTGATTATCAATATTGCTATTATTATTTATTATTGCTATTATCATCATGATTACTTGTTAAAGTATTTGCGTGTTAAATTATCAGTAGCACTGATAAGTTCAGATGTTTATGATTTTCATAAATAAGCTTTAATGTTTGTGAATGACTGAATTAAGCCTAGGAAATTAATAAGATTTTATTGTAACAGTAATTTTAGTATATTATTCCAGTAAAGTGAAAATAAATTTAATATTTTTATTTTATTAACCCTCTGATAATTATTATCTATCTAATAATTAACAAAAAAGATAGAAAAAAAGCGAGAAATTGAAAGATTTAAATTAATAATTGATCAACCAGATTTGTTACAAAAAAAAGGAAATGAAATGAAAAACAATTAGCCAAGATAATTTATAAGCTTTAATTAAACTTTAAACTTAGCATAATTTAACATTTCACAAGTATTACTTACTATAATACAGCTACTTAAAAAGATGGACCTAACTCTTCTTATAATTATTACTTACTAAATGCAATTAATTATAAGATGAATCTAACTTTTCACAAGTATTACTTGTAAAAGTATTACTTAACTATGATTTGATTGATTAAAGGATGAATCAAATTGGGAATGGGCCTCATGGACACCTATTGGTTTCAGTCTTTTACCATTTTTTATTTTACATTCAATTATTTTCAACATTGGTGGAAGTTTTGTCTCGGATAATACTTTACAATACATCACAATATTTTACTCTGTCACTTATAGTTGTTTTCTCTTTTCTAAATGGCTTGTCATTTTATCACTCACCCAGGGTACACTTATCTTTTTTGCTGCCTACTATTTTCGGTAAGTTTATTTTTTCATTTTTTTCAAAGAAAAAAAATTTAATCCTAAAATTTACAATTCTTTTTTAGAAATATCATTACTGTTTTGTCAACGCGCAGAAATATAATATTTAAAATGTTAACAATTTTAACGAGACTAAATTTTTTAAATGCTTTACGAAAAAAATCGAGAATGTTTCAGATTGAAATTCAAAATGAAGTCTTTAGTGTGTTTTAAATTTAAACCGAGAATAGAGTTTTAAATGCTTTATAGATTTCAACCGTAGAGTAAAATCTTGAATGCATTTCAAATTAAAAATTTACATTAAAAAAAGACTTTAAAAATGTAAGTCTGAAATGAAATTTTGAAATGATTTTAGTCCTAAAATTTGGATAAAATTTTGAATTACAAATTTAAGTGTGCATCTGTCAAATATTTCTTTTTCAATGATTAAATCATATGTTTTTTTGAAAGAAAAGAAAAAATTTCAAATTTTTTTAAAAATAAATAAATAAAAAATTTTTGCTATATTTATTGAATAAATTTATTAGATAAAGGAAAAAAAGCAAGTAACATTTTTAAATTTTAATTTTAGCTTTTAAACATATAAACTTATTGTGATATAGCATATTTATAATATAGTCTACTAACAGATATAATTTTTTTATTTTAAATTGAACTAACTAAGATTGTAAATCATATTTTAATCAGTTTACATATGATATGGTTTTCTAACAAATATAATTTTTTATCACAATTTAAGTTAAAATAACAAATATATAAACCATATTTTAATCTCAATTAAATGTTTTTTTTTCATTCATAATCTACAGAAAAGATAAATAAACGAATTAAAAAAGAAATTTTGAAATTAATAAAAATTTAAAATTTGATTAAATTTAAATTTTTAGCCATCAACTTATTGTATGGTTTTGTTCAATGCCAATTCTTTATCTATCACTACGCTATTCTTATCACTTATCACCAAATCCATTAATTGTTGTCATTTTTATCTGCTACACATTACTTTCATATATTTCATTTAATTTGGAAATGCTAAATGGCGCAAAACGTCCCGAAGATAATACATTGCTAAAATGTTACATACGTATGCTTTTTTATGCATTTTATCCACCATATATGACAACATTAGTTGTTATTTATCCGGAATTTGAGCGACAAATGCGCCAACGTCATACTAAAACACGTAATTGGCAACGTGTAATATTTTTTGCACTACGTATTACATTTTGGTGGTTACTTATCTATTTAATGTTACATTTTATGTATTTCGAATGGATACTTTATGATACAGATTATGCGCAAAATTTGCCAAAAAATGAATTTGTTTCATTAGGAATGGCATTAGGTAATATTTTTCATTTCTTTAATAATTTAATTAAAATTCTTATTAGCATTTTAATTTGTTATTTGAAAATTTTTGATTGATTGGTCAAAATTGATATTTGAACAAAAAAGGTTTTTTTTTTTTTAAAAATTTTAATTAATTTAAAAACAAAAAAAAATACATTCATTGAAAAAAAAAAATAACACATAATTTATAATTATATTATACATTAAATTATTACAATTTTAATTATTCTATAAAATAAAATTAGTGTATTTTTTCTTTAAATTAACATATATTTTATTAAATTTATAGAAAATATTTCTTAATTAAATTAAGTAATTTTTTTTTTTTTTTTTGCAAAATTCAATATGTATTTTTAAGTTGCAACAAAATTTTTATTATCCTTTTTTTTTTTAAAATTTTTTAAAGCATTAATGATGTAGAAAAAATTTTCTTTATTTCAACCAATCTTTTTTCTTACTCTTTCTGAATGTTTTAAAATGATAAAGTGATAAATTGAGGTACTTTTTTTGGGTAATTTTATTTAAACATACATAATTATTCCTACTATTATACATGATATATATGAGTATGTACTATTTTAAACTAATAAATTAATTTTAAAAGTATTCATTCTAAAATGCGAACATTCCTAAAATAAATTCTTATTTGATTATATTATTAATCAAATTAAAATATACATAATGTCATTAAGAGAAAAAAAATTAGTCCAATCATACATAAATAATTATTTTAATTTGTCTTAGTTCAATAAATGAACCTATTACTTTGCGTTAATTTAATAAAAATAAATAAATAAAAAAAAATTTAATAAGTAAAAATTTTAATTTTTTATTAAATATACATTATATCATTTAAAAAAAACATAAACAATTATTTAATTATTTTAATTTTATTATGTATATTTCAATAATTTCAATAAATTATTACTATTTTAATTTATTACAATTAATGAATAAAAATATAAAATTTTTATTTTTCTTTTTTTTTTTAGGAATATTTTTTCATCTTCGATACGTTGTGATATTTGGCTTACCACGTATTTTTGCCTTGGCTGATAATATGGAACCAGCTGCTGGGCCAATTTGCATCAATCGTTTAACGCTTTACTCAAAAGCATGGCGTTACTTTGACCCTGGCCTTTATAGCTTTTTTAAAACTTATATTTTCATTCCAATTTGTACGCCAACTTTTTCAATTAAACGTAAAATATTTGGTGTAATTATATCATATGGTTTTGTACTGCTATGGCATGGAATTACTTATGCAAATATTGTAAGTTTGAAAAAGAAAACAAAACATTTTTTTTTTTTGCTTTTAAATTTCACTTATATGTAGATTTTTTTCTTAAATTTAGTACATTTTTATATGACTTTTAGAAACATATAAATAACTTTACACATATTTTATAAAACTTTACATACATATAAGGTAATGAATTTCACTTATATATTTAATTTTACCTAATTTTACTTATTAATACAAATATATAATAATATCTCTTCCCATTTATAAGTTAATTTTGCTTATTAAATATAGAATAGTATAAAATGGTCGTTTTTTTTTTAATTTTTCTTTTTCCTTATAGGCACATATGTATAGTAATATAAAATAATTTTTTTATTTTATTTGGGTAACTTTTATTTAACTAAATTTTACTTAGTAAAGCACACATAGCGGCACATTTCACTTATATAATTATTTTTACTAAACATTATTCATATATACATAAAATATATTTGCAATTTTCTTTTTTTTTAAATTTTATATTTTACTTAGGTATATATAAGTATACTGCTAATTTTACCTGGGTATATATGAGTAAGTATACTGTTAATTTTACTTAGTATAACTTATACATATAGTAGTGGTGTATAGCAGTGTTTCTTTTCATTTTTTTAATTTTATTTATGTGTATGCATATATAGGAATGAATTATATATTTAATTTTACTTAAATATAAATATAGAAAGTAAGTTATATATTATATATTATATATCTAATTTTAAATATAATACTTATAAATTTTAGAAGTAGTGAATCTTACTTATATATAGTAGTCAAAGTAATAGTTTTACTCTTTAATTTTACTTTTATATGCTTATATTTAGTAAAAAGTATAGTAATAAAGATTTTATTAAAAAAAAAAAGTAATAAAAATTGTGTTATCCTTTTCTTCTGAAGTAATTTCATTTTAAAATAATAGTAGTTAAAAAAAGAAATTTAATTTTATGCTAAATTTCTAAAAATAAAAAATTATATATTTAAAAAAAAAATACCAATTGTTGCAATTATTTTCATTTTATAATCAAACTTTTTCTGAAAACACAAATTTGAAAATATTTTTTCAGCATTTTTTATTTTATTCTTTTATTCTTTAGAAAAAAAAAATGAAAACATACATACAAATTCTTTTTCTGCGTTATTTTCCAATTTAATTTACATTTAATTGACAAAATAAAAAAAAAAATTTTTGAATATTTGACAAAAGAAAAATGAGAAAAAGTGAAAAAAGAAGAATTTTCGTACTAATATTTTTTCAAATACACAAAATTTTTTCCATTTTTTTTTTTAAATGAATTAAATGATATAATAGAAAAATTTTATTCTTTTTATTTGTTTTAAATTTCGTTGCATATTTTTTTTTCGAAAATTTTCTTTTAAATTATATTTGCTTAAAAATATTTTCTATTTTTCTTTTCCTAATGATTTGAATGATGATTAGAAAAACCAAATATTTTCTATTTTTCTGATTAAAAATATAGTTTTAAATTATTTTCCTTTTTTCAAATGAATTAAATTTGAATGAGTTTAAACAAAACTTTTTTTTCATTTTTTTGCTAAAAGTTCCACTCTAAATTTTTCTGAAATCCATTTTTTTTTTTTAATTTAATTAATTTTATTCAAATAATGCAATGCAATAAAATTCAAGAATTTTCAAAAAAAAAAATTCTCTTATTAATTTTTTTTTCATTTTTTTCACCTTTTTTTGCCAAAAATTTGCTTTTCAAATTACTTTTCCACCTTTCTTTTCCTTTTTCTAAATGAGATTGAAAACAATAAGTCAAAAAATTTACGAATTAATTTCTTTTTTCTTTTGCATATCACATTATTTATTTTAACAAAAAATTTAAAAACTTTTTTTTCAATTTTTTGCAAATGAAAATTTTACAAAAATTAATCCGAAAAATAAAACCCTTTTAAATGAATTATTTTTCTGTTGAAATTACTTTTTTTTAAAAAAAAAAAAAAACATAAAAAAATTTGTTTCAATTATTTTTTTTCACTTTTTTTTTAAACAACCGTTTTTTTTTTAGATTTTAAAAATAATTTTTAGAAAAAAAAAATCCGTTTTAATTATTTTTTTTATTCATTTTTCATTTTGAACAGAAAAGTTTTTTTTATTTATTTCTTTTTTCTCAGATTTTAAAAATAATTTTTGAAAAAATTACAAAAAACATTTATTTTAATTAACTTTTTCACTGTTTTTTTTTTCCAACAAAAAAGTTTTATAAATTTTATTTTTAGATTTGGATAATACTTAATATTATTGGCTTATTTATGGAATATTGTTGCAAAGGATTGTACACAATTAAAGACATTCAAAAATGGCGTGAAACACACATCAACGATATATCATTTCGTCGTTTTATTGCATTTCTTCATATTATACCATTCATTCTTGGCCTTTACTCAAATTTTTACTTTTTAGGTGGCTATGAAGTTGGCTCAATGTTTGTTAAACGTATTTGGTACGAAGAAACGTTAAAATTACGTTTTCCAGCTATTTTATTAATTACATTAGCATATTTTTATTCACAAGTTTGTATTGAAATTGATCGAAAAATTAATTTAGCAACAATAACAAATAATAATTATAAAAAAGATTGCTAATTTAAAAAAAGAATCAAAATTTTTTGCGAAAAAAAAAGAAGAAAGAAAAATAATGTTAGAGTAGATAAATTAGATTTTTCTTTTTTTCAGGAAAAAATGATAGGAAAAAATTTTTTGCAAAAAAATAATTTGAAGAAAAAAAAAAAAGAATCAAATATTTCGATTAATAATTCTGTTTTTCTTTTTTTTTTTTTGAGCTATTAAAAAAGGAATTTGAAAAAATAACTCACTAATTTTATTTTTTGCATGGAAAAAAATAAAAAAAAAATAGCAGAAATAGAATTTCGTTTAGAAAAGAGAAAAAAAAATTCAAATGTTTGCTTGAAGTGTGCATGTAAAATTTTTAAAAAATGAAAATGAATTGAAAATGTAATATTTTAGAAAAATTAAATTTAATATTTTAAGAAGTTGAACTTATTAAAGATAAAATTTTTATTTATGAATAATTTCTAGCATAAATTTCTACTATAATTATATTTGCAAATTATTGGTACTTGAAAATATTTGATAATTTATAAGTTTTCTTGATTATTGTGATTTTTTTTTTAAAAAAAAAGATAAAATTAAATTATTTCTTAAGGTTTGTCCTAACCAAATAATATTATTAATAATAGTATAAATAAATATTATCAGTGATATGATATAATTTAGAATGATATTTTTAAATGCAAGATTTTGCATTTTTTTTAAAAAAAAAAGAAAAAAATAAAATTTGCGCAAATTTTGATGGAAATGGAAAAAAAATGAAAAGCAAAAATAAAAATGCAAACCGCAATGCATTTCATCTGATCCATCATTGCATGCTTGCAAACCATCACAACGTGCATCTAGCGGAACGCATTCACCGCTACCGCATTCCCAGTACGTTTCCGGACATTGACGCATGTGATACGACGCTAAAAAACGAAATTTTTTTTTTAAATTCATTTATTTTATTATTTTTGCACAATGTACTTTTACAAAATTTTACGCAAGATTAAACGAAGATGACACGTAATTCACGTGCGTGAAATTTATTTTCTTACTTTTGGTTTTTTTTTCTAAATAAGCGAAATAATTGATTAGTAATGTGAAGATATTATCGATAAAAATTATTTGCTGTAATTTTTTTTCTCTTTTTAAACCTAAATGTTGTTATCATTTTTAACATTATTTATTATAACTTATTTTAATGTTAATAATGTTTATAACTAATTATTATTTATTGGTTTTGATAATAATGCGAAATCAGCAAAATTTAAAATTTAATTGTGTTATTACTAATTTAAAATTTTATGTTCACTATATCTATTTATTATTGATGGTAAATTTGAATAAATTGTATTTAATGAAAAAATAAATATGAATTGTTAGCAATATACCCGACCCTTTCTCCACTTATAATCACAACTAATATAATTTGAATCAATAAATGTAATCAATAAATGATTAATTTAATTGCAATCGATTATTAGTTACATTCAATTAATATTTGATTAAAACAATTTAAACATATGTTTAATATTAATTCTTCAATTATTATTAAATATTAAGAAAGAAAGGAAAGAAAGGCTAATCAAATAATATCTTTTAATTATCTATTTTTTCGTTTTTTGTCTTTAAGCATAATTTACAATGTGAATTACTAATAAACTTTATTTCAAAATAATTTAAAAAGCTTTTTGAAGTTTTTTTTTTCAAGATTTCAAAATTTTAAATTGGGGAAAAACAATAACTAACAATCAGTTTTGCAACATTTTCCTTCGATGCATGTTGTATGAGATGGACAAACAGAATTACTCCAACAGTATGTTGAGCCATGTCTGAAATTAATTTTTCAAAATTATTTTTTTTTTCTAAATTAAATATCTTATTCATATAAAAATTATAATTATAATATAGAAAGACAATAAAAAGTTAATTGAGATGATGTATGAAAAAAAAATTCAATTTGATTAATGAGTTTAAATTATTGCAAGTGTTATTTTCATAGCTTATCACTTTACTAAAAATATAAAAAATTCCGTATAAATTTTTTTTATAAAGAAAAAGTGAAAAATTTTAAAGCTCAATTTTATAAAATTCAATTTATTAGTTGGCAAAATTTCTCTTAAGTCAAGAATCATATTTAAAAAATCACAAAATTAATTAACTGCCTCTCAAAAAAAATTAGTTAACTAAACTACAAAAAAAAAAACAAACGAATTAGTTTCCTAAAAAAAATTCGCTAGACATAATTAGTGCAAAATTTTAATTAAAAAGATAGTAATTCTTAAAATTTATAATTTCATTAAAAATTCGACCAATAAAAATTTCAAAATTTGACTCTATTGTGGTGTCTAGGGTGTTGAAGAATGCAAAATAACAAACAAATTTCAAGAAAATTACAAAATTAAAATTGTCCCTTTAAATTAGTTGCAAATGACAGAGAAAAGAGATTTTATTTTGCATTTTCACTTTTTAAAAAAGTTGACACAAAAGCTTTTTGAAGAATAGAAAAGAGGTTTATCATTTAAATGATGCAAAGTAATCTATTTTGTCAATAGAAAAATTGATGAGAATAAAAAATGAAAATAAAAACGTGAAAAATGCATCATTTGAAAATAATTTCATTTAATATAAAATTTATTATTCAATGTTTTTTTAAAATGTATTTGAATTAATTTTTAAAACGAAAAATGAGTAAAATAAAACGCACAAAATTTGGTAAAATTTAAAAGAAAATTAATGTTATAAACTTTATGAAACTTTACGGTATTTTACTAATTAATTGTATTTGGAATAACTTTAATTAAGTAATCTAAAAATTTAAATTGTTTAACATTGCAATAAAATTGCAAAAATTACAAAATTAAAATTTTGATTTTTTTGAAAAAATTGATAACTAAATTATCGATTGATCTAAACTCTTCTAAAAAATGAATGATTCAAACAAAAAAAGAAAAAAAGCAAATTTTTTTTTTTTTTTTTTTAAATACATTTCCTTCACAAAACAATAAAAATGAGTTGCATATAAAAATATAAAATTAAATTTATATATATTTTTTTGTAAAGTTATTGTTGAATTATAGTTATAAAATTATTTTGCTTTGTTGTTCACTTAACAAAACAAAACAAAAAAAAAATATAAAGAAAATAAATATTGAAATTTATTTTTTCTATTTCATTCATATAAAAAATAATAAAAATTACTAACATCTAATATTATAAAATAAATTTACATATCTTTTTTTTTTTGTAAAATTATTGCTGAATTATATTTATAAAATTGTTTTATTCTGTAAAAACTTGTTATCAAAAATAAATTACTTAACAAACTATTATTATTAATTAATTAAAAAAAAAAAAAAATTTACAGGCTAAATTCTGGTACAGAACCATCTAAACATTTGACAGTTACTTGTGCTGTTAACCATTTCAATTTTTTATTAATGTGATGTGATGCGGTATTGCAGTTTGCTTCGTCCGTAAAATCAGTGCAATCACGTTTTCCGTCACAAATGACACTTCGTGGTAAGCAGAAATTATCAATTTGACAAAAATATTCATCACTTTCACAAGAAGCTGCTAAAAATAAACAAATTTTTTAAAAAAAAAAAAATTAAAAAATTAAATTAATTAAAATTTTAGCAAATTTGATAAATGTTAACGTTTTGATAAATAAAAATCTTATTTTACATTTAATTTATTTACGTAAAAAAAAAAATAGAAAAAGAATTTCATCAAAATTAAACATTCTATTTCATTCATTGTTAAATTAACTAGTTTTAATGCAAAGAAAAAGTATTTAAAAATGAAAAAATAAATTTGATTTTATTCAATCGATAAAAAATTCTGATTGAAAAAATTTGATCATTCAAATTTTATTAATTATTATATGAGCTAAGCTATGCATTTTTATTACTTAAAATTTAATGCACAATAAATAATTGTAAACAAATATAGTTAACAAATATGTTTAGCTTATTTTGTTTACTGTTTACAATCTCTCAATCGATCTTTTTTTTTTTTTTTTTAAACAAATAAAACAAATGTGAAAATTTTGGGGTGGCAAATTTATGGAAATTAGTATTTTCCGGTTTTTGTCTTTGATTTTTTAATTTAAGTATTTACAATATGTTTGTTAGTATTTATTGTTTGTTAATATTTCTCAATCCTAAATATTAGAATTTTAAACATTTCTAGCAGAAAATAAATTGTTTCGTTAATTTGAAAATTAATTGATAAAAAATAAATTACAATTTTCCTCCCAGAAACATTTTTCATATATTTGAAAGGTAATAAAATACAAACTTGCAGGCATTTTGCTTTTCTTTCATTATTGATTGAAATAAATTATCAATTTTTTAGTTTGATTATTTTATTGAACTAATTATTTAGAAGCAAGAAATATTCCGTTTTTTGAAACAAAACCGGAAAACAATGGATAGTACCATTAAAATAAATAATGCTAAAATGAAAATCGAAAAATGATGAATTAATTGCTTAATGGACAAAAAATTCTACTGATAATTTTTTTTATGGATTTATTTATTTCTTTCCTTTTCTAGATAATTAATATTATCATATTAACTGTTTAGTATTATCACACTAACTATTATCAATATCATTGTTTGATCATATCACTGAACAACAATTACTTTACATTCTTATCATTTTTTTTAATAGCATTTACGTATTTCGACCGGAAAAATTGTAAAAGAATATCATTGTTAAGACTTATCAATTGAGATATCATAAGTATGCATTTATTATATTTTATTAAAAAACTACTGATAAGAAATAACATTTAAAATTATAATTTAGTTTTTCTTAAAAGTTAATATTTTAAGAAAAAATAGAGAAAAAAGCAATACTGAAAGTTTCTAAATAATAAATGAAACAAATGAAAAATATTTGTTAAGAAGAAAGCAAATTTAAATAATTATTTATTTCTCTTATCTGACATTTTCTGCCAAAAAATATATTTGTTTGCTTGTTTTTGCTTTTAATTTTAAATGAAATTTAAACCTGTGCAGTTATCAGTATCAAAGCATTGCTTTTTGATAATTCCATTATCAGTTGAAACATTGATAGTAATTGCTTTTTTGATGCCACTGATATTTATCTCATATACACCACTGTTATCACTACTGATATTATCAATCAATAAGTAATATTTCGTTGTTGTATTATAGTATCTTATCATTCCATTCCTTCTACCATTCTCATTTTTTAATGGTTTACCATTATGAAACCAACGAGCCTAAAATATTTTATTGCAATTAATACAAAAAAAAAGAAAAAAATTTGAATAAATTATTAAAATAACATTTTTAAAATTTAATAGTATCATTATTCAATAATTAAAATTTTAATTAAAAAATTTTTTTCTTTCATTTATGTTAAAAATATTTTTTTCCCACATTTTCAATCAAAAAAAATATGTTCATACTAATGAAATTTCAACTCAAAGTTAAAATTGAAAATTTTGAAAATTTTCAAAACAAATTTATTTTATTTCAGCACATACAATTATTTAAGCTTATAAATGATAAATAATCGTTTAAAAAAAAAAGAGTTTTTACTAGTAATACATTTAATACATATGCAAACTTTTATTTTAAAATTATTTAAAAAAACATATTTTCAAGAAAAAAAAAAAAGAGAGAAAACCTTATGAGAAGGAAAGATGCCATTTAATTTTGCTGAAATTCGAATCGAATCACCCGGTAAAAGGACTGAATGCGGTGAGATCAATATTATTCTTTCATTTTCACAATTAGCTATAAAATTAAACAGTAAATTTTGTATTATTGTTTATTTCATTTATTACTTTTTTTTTTTAAATTTATAATTTTGGTTATTTTAATAAATTTTTAAAATTATTTATCAGCAATATACTTATTTTTACAATAAGTTGTAAACAGTAAGTTGTAAAATTTAATGCAAATTAATAATTCTATCTTTTTTTAAAAATGTTTTTCATTAAAATTATTTCAATTCATTTTTAAAAGCCATCAAATTAAATATTTCATTTTTTGTTAAAAATTTTTTGAACAATTTAACAATTATTGTTATATTTATTGAAAAAGAAAAAAATGAAGAGAAAAAGTAATTCCAAATTAGCTTAAGAAATAATTTGATGATTTAATTTCTCATAAATATTAGTGTCAAAATTATTTGAATCAATCGATTGAGCAATAATTTTACATTTATTTATTACTTATTATTTCTTTTTATTTTATCATTTTTCTTTTAAACAAATTAAAAATAAAATTTTATTCTTTAGCGCACTTTTTTTTTTAAATTTTTTATTATTTAAATCTTTTCTTTTTATCCTTTATCATATGAATTTACTTTTTCAATGATTTGTTTATTATCATTTAATCAAGATCAAAAGAAAAAAAAAGCGGAAGAATAGAGAATAATAATAATAATTCACCTTCATCACTACCATCTAAACATTGCTTATCACCATCACATCGTTGTTTATCATCAATGCATGACCCATCATCACATTTGAATTGTAAACTTGAACAGTCCATCATAATTGGTAATTCTAAACAATGATCTGTCGTTTTGTTTAATATTAACTGATAAGAATATAAGTATGCAAAATGATCTGATAATAATGATTTGTTTATTTATTTATTTATCATTGATAATTTCAAACTTTCGCATTTATTTCAAAATTTTCATTTTTTAAAAAAAAAAATGCAAAATGCAATTACATCGTTTATACAAAAAGGAAAAAAAAATTTTTTTGATTAAATTAAAAAGCTAAAATGTTTTTTTTTTTTTGTAAATTAACATATATATTTTTTGCAAATTAAATGTTTGTTGTTTATGAATAATTAATTTTCTGTAATGAAGATTAACTTAGATTAATTGATAATTAAGATTAACTTTAAAAAAAAATAGTAATGTTTGATTATTTGAATTTAGAAAAAAATATGAATGAAAAAATTTTAGATTTAGTGTAATTGAACAAACAGAAACTGCAAGATGTGAGATTTTTTTTTAAAAAAAAAAAAAGAAAGAAAGAAAATAAAAGTAAAACTTCGAAAGTTAAAGTAAATCCGACGATTATAATTTTTCAATGACACTTGAAAAAATGGAAAAATATTGCACAATGAAGCACTTCAATTATGCTACAATTATTTAAAGAAATGACTAATAAGAAATAACTCATTTTTAAATTACTTTAATAAATTAAATTTTTTTAAATAAATTTAAGTAACTTAACAAAAAAAAAAAAATATGATGAATTATTTTGATAAATCAAACAAGAAAAAAATTGAATTATATATTTGTTTTTTTCCAGAAAAAATTGAAATTTTTTCAGAAATTAAAATATCGTTTTTTAAACATTTTTCATTTCAAATTTATATTTGTAAATTATAGTAATTTTTTTTTTTTTAAAAAAAAATTATTATAGCTTAATATTGCTATTTATATTTTCTTTTTTACAGCTGCAAATTTATTTCTTTTTTTTTAAAATAGGTTTACACAAATATTATATGTAGAAAAGATTTTATTGGTGAAAATTAAACTCAAATACAATTGTGCAAAAAAGTAAGTATAAATTATGCATAAAAATACGGGCAAAATATTATTTTTTAAACTTTTGTAGAAATTTTGCTATAAAAAATTTAAAAAAAAAAATACTTTAAAATGATATTTTTTGTTACTTCAGAATAATATTTTAAATGAATTAGAAAATTTCGTCTTTTTATTAAGTATTTCAATTATCAAATTAAATTAATAAGCAATTCAATGTATCAATTAATCAGAAATTCTCAAAATTTATGATATATTACTAATATTTTGTAATTATAAATGAGTAAATTAATTAATTAAAATGCGAAGGATACAACTAATCATTTAATCAATCAATTTTTTGTTTCATTTCAAAAGTATTTTAACAATTTCTTAATTTTAAAAATGAAAATTTCAATCAATACTAGCTAAATCTATCAGATAATTGAATTAATTGTAATCATTTATAATGACACTTTTGTTTTATTTAATTATAATTATTTCACCAGCACTACTAAATGTCGTTTTATAAATAAAATTGTTAATATCATTGCTTAATTGATAACATTACACTGGTGTGATTATTAAATTAACTTTAGTGAATTAAATCAAATTTAACTACAAGTGAGAAAGAGAGAGAAATAGAAAGAGAAAAAGATGAAAGGATAAGTTGGTATTTGTTGTAATTTTATTTAAATTTAAATTCATGTAAGCTTAAAAAATAAAAACACTTGTTGAAAAAAAAAATTTCACATCTTCCAATTTAATTTTTTAATTTACTCTGTTCGTTTTAAATGGTGTTCCAAAAAAAAAAAAAATAAAACAACAAAAATGTAACTTAGCTAAAAAAAAAAAGAAAGAAAATAAACAAATCAAAAAAAAAAAAGGATAACTTAATAAAAAGGAAAGAAAGAATGAATGAATATCTACTGCTTACATTTGCACTTCATCTATTCCAAAGAAGCGCAAATGTCGGACATCTATAGTGTAACAGATATGTTTCAAATTTAAACACGCGCAAATATCGGATATATTTTAAAGATAAGAAGCACAAATGTCGGATATATTTCAATTTCTAAGCAATCGTTAGACATATTTAATACACAGTGAAACTCAAGATGTATAAATGTAAAACATATTTCAAAATATCGAACGTATATCAAATTAAATAAGCGCAAATGTCGGATGTATTTCAAATTAACAACAAGCGCAAATGTCAATACATTGTTCAAATTCGAAAAAGCTTGTTGTCAACTATCTTTTACAACCAAATCTGTTTTTCAATAGAGAATGTGCAAAATATATTGGATAAACAACAAATTTGCATATTTATTTCTATTCTTCGTCAATATGCGCCCGTTTGCGTCATTCAACTAAATTCAAAAATTAAATTTGTCGAAATTAAATAAAAATTAAAAAGAAAAAGTCGAAGGACTGATAATTAAAGCAGAGAAGACAAGAATAATCGCTAAATGAAATAATTTAATTTAAATTTTGTCACAATTTGTAATTTTCGATAAAAAGCAAATCACATGGTTTTTGCATTTTTTTTTTTTGTACAAATTTTTCATTCTTTCGAGAATTTCCCGAATTATTCGTTTCTAATTAGAATGAATAAAATTAGAATAAAAATGTAAATAATTACCTTTTTCTTATACAACTAATAATATTTCTTCCGAAATAAATTTTGATAAAAAAAATTACAAATTATATTAGTACAGTTTATGCCTATTATAAACATTTAAATATGTTAATTTATAATTAAAAAGTGCTAACAGAAAGAACTAAATTATTATTTAAATTTTTCGTTTAATTTATTACAAAATTTAAAATTGAATATTTTTTTAAAAAAAAAGAAGAGAGAGGAAATTTATTCCTTGAAAAAGATTCAAGTGTATAAATTTAAAAAAAAAATTATAAGGAAAAAGAAATTGAATACAATTACTAGTTGAGTGATTTAATTAAGCTAATATTTTCAATGCATAAAATGATATTGTGTAAATTTAAATCTAAATTCAAATGTGGAAAATTATAATATAAAAGCTAAGCAGAAATTAAAAATAAGAAATTAAATGAATTAAATGTTTAAAAAAATTAAAAAAAGAAATTAAAATTGTACTTACAATGGAGCATTAATAGTTATTAAATAATATTATTTTATTCACTTATCATTTTTCATATGTAAACAAGTTAAAAAAAAAAAAGAAATTTGAAACGAATTTCATTTAATCCAAAAAAAAAAAAAAAAGAATGAAAAAGAGAAAATGGAATGAATTATTTTGCAAGCAAAAAGAATTTTATCAAACATTTTTTTTTGATAAATTAGAAAAAAGAAGGAATGAAATATTTTATTGACCCTTAAATGTATAATATTGAAAACCATCGAAACCAACACCATATCCACCAATGTAGCCTGTTCGTATTGCTTTTTCGATGATTTTTCTCAATTTTGGTTGAGCTTTTCGTGATGTTACCTCGATTGTTACCAAAGTACCAATTACTGGTTGATACCTGTATTGTTCGGTAGCATTTCTAATAAGTGCGAAATAAAATTTTTTTTATTTTTGCTTTTTTTTTTCATTTATTTATTTTATTGCTTATATAGGAAAAAAAAGGCAATAATTTTGCAGTATTGCTATGTGGTATTTTTTAAACAATTTAAAAAAAAAAAACAATTCATCATTTTGATATAATAAAATTGAATTAAGATAACTTCAAATTTGAACTTTTTGAAATCAAATTTTCCTTAATTGTTATATTTATATCTATGTGTATGAGTGTGTAGAGGTAAATTTTTTATAGTTAAATAATCATAAAAATGCTAAAAATCTAAAATTTTAAATTAATTACAAACAATTCATTTGAAAAAAGAAAGGAAAGAAAATTAAAAATTAAAAACGGTTATATAGCCTAAAATGAGTGAAAAAAAAAAAGATGAAAAATATGTAAAAATTAAATTAAACAAAATATATTTTATATATGAAGAATTATAAGGGTATTAAATTAATAAATAAAAACACCTGTAATTAACAATAGAGATATTGTATTGGCCAGGTAATGCTGCTAAAATAGTCTGAAGAGCATCCGAAATTTGTTGACTGGTACGAATAAATTGTTTGGAATATGGATGATTCAGCTCATTAGAATATGGCAAATCAGTAAAATTAATAATAAATCGATGTACAGCAAGAAAAGTTGTAGCAGTAAACAATGATGGTATTAATATCATTGTTTATGAAGGATTGAAATTGATAAATTTGATTATATCAAATGAATCAATCCTTTCGTAGAAAACTAAATTTTTATCACTGATTTAAAAAGAAAAAGTAAACCAAAAGATTTCAAAAAAAAGAAAAAATAAATTCAACTTTTTTTGTTTTTCTAAAATAAATTAGCAAACAAATGAGATATGTGTGCTAAATTTTACTAAAATGTATTATTACTCTGAGAATACTCTGAATGATTTAATTTGTAAAGTAGTAATACGATGAGATATTTGAAGGAAGGTGAAGACAAGAGAAGAGAAAGAGGAAATAAATTGCAATAACGATGGTACATTATCGCTTAATCTAAACAACAATTCATTCTAATAGTAATAATAATGATAATATTATAACACAAATATAATGATGGCAATACTAGTAATAATAATAATAATAATAATAATAATAATAATAATAATAATAATAATAATAATAATAATAATAATAATAAATAAATAAATAAATTGGATGCAAGATCGTTGATAACCGAAAAAATGATAATAATATAATGATATTAGCAATAAATAATGACAGAAAATGTAATAATAGTAATAATTGAAATGCAAGGCCCATATGAAGTAAAAAATGATTATCTGATAATAATGGTAATAATAATATTAATATAATTTAAATATGAAATCGTTTGTGAAAGAAATAAATGCAACGATAATGATAATAGTAATAATAATAATGTTAATAAATGATAACAATAATGATAATAATTGTAATATAATAATAGCAATTATAATAATAATTTTAAATATAGAACTGCTGATGAAAATAGTGTTAATAATGGTTTGATTGTAAAATTTGTTAATTAAAAAAAGATAATAATAGCAATAATAATAAACAACAATAATAACAGTATTAGTAATAATTATAATAATATTTTAAATATAAAGCTGCTGATGAAAGCAAAAAATATGGTAATAATAATAATATTAATGATAATAATAATAATAATAATAATGATATAATAGTTATTTGGTTGTATGATTTGTTGATAACTAAAAGAAAAGATAATAATATTAATAATAGTCATAATAATCACAATAACAATAAATAATGATTTGATTGCAAAATTTTTAATGACTTAATGCAAAAAGTTAAAAAAAAAGAAAAACTATTAATTAATTAGAATATAATAATATAAATAAATTGGAATGCAGAATACAATAATATAAATTAATTATAATACAAAAATATAAATTAATTAGAATACAAAAATATAAATTAATTAGAATGCAATAATATAAATTAATTATAATACAAAAATATAAATTAATTAGAATACAAAAATATAAATTAATTAGAATACAATAATATAAATTAATTAGAATACAATAATATAAATTAATTAGAATACAAAAATATAAATTAATTAGAATGCAATAATATAAAAACAATATTTACAAATGATATCGTTTTTTTTTTATCGATAACAATCGTAGTACTAATGTAATGTAATGGTTGTGCTTCTTCTAAAGCTAAATTGATGACAATTTTTTTTTGCTTTTACGATGCTCCACCCTTTGTGGAATATTTTTATTCATTCCTACTTTTTTTCATTTTTCATTTTTTTTTTTTTCTGCTTGCTTATTCAATACCCAAAACCGAAGAAATAAATTCAATCGAATAGTGATACTGGCAAAAATAAAAAAAAAAAAAAGGTAAAAAGAGATAAACTAAGCAATTGGCGCAAAAATACTGTACCGTAAATTTATATGACTTATATATAGGTGTGTGTGTGTGTGTGTGTATATGTTTACATCTACCCAATAAAACACTTTTAAATTTACAAATTCAAAAAATGAGAGAGAGAGAGAGACAGGGAGAGGGAGAAATATTGCTTTACTTTACTCCGATTTTATCATTATTTCCTATTCAAAGCATATATTTCATCTTAAAAATGAAAAACCTCTTCAAATACTTTTTCATGTTTTTTTTCTCTCTCTCTCTCTTTCTCTCTTTCTCTCTGTATTTTTTCATATATTCCTTGTTTATTTTTATGTTTGTTTGAAAAAAAAAAAAAAAAACTTAGTATATGAAAAAAAAATACAAAAAAGAAAAAAAAAAGCTCAAATGGATAAAAAAGTGAAAAAAAAAAATGAAACGATAAGATAGTAAAGATAAAAAAAGAGAAAAGTTTAATAAAAATTATATCTTCAAAAAGAGAAATCTCGAAATTACTTATTGAAATGAAAAAGAAAAAGGAAAAAAGAAATGAAACGATGCAAATCTATCAGATATCAGGAAGAAATGAAAAAGAAAGAAAAAAATGAAATGAAATGATTGAAAGAAGAATTTAAAAAAAAAAAACAAAAAACACTGTAGAAGTTCTTGTGATACAGTGAAGCTTACTTATGCTTATCGGTTTTTTTCTCCCTCTCTCCATCTCCCTCTCTCTCTCTCTCTCTCTCTCTCTCTTCTTTTTCCTGTTTAATCTCTAAAACTATTTGCAATTTTAAAAAGTGAACGATGAATAAATACCATACATTTTGTCTAGACTTAAGCTTTTTTTTCCTTCATTTGTATTTTCTTTTTTATTGTACAAATTTCTCATTCATAATTGCATTCATTCTTTCTCTCTCTCCCTCTCTCTCTCTCTCTCCTTCTTCTCTCTTATTTATTTATTTCATTTAAAAGAGAAAAATAGAAAAATTTGAAAAAATTATAATTTTATCATATAGAAAAATAAATAAGTAAAAAAGAATACAATTAAGTCAAAAAATAAAAATTTAATTTATAAAAAATTCGAAAATTTTTAATTATTGAAAACAAAAAAAAAAAAAAAAAGAAATAATAAATGACAGATTTTTATCATAATTTAACACAAAATTTTTCAAAATTATTAATTTTCTTTTATTAAATTGCATTATATAATCTAAAAAAAAAATTTTTTTAATTTAAGTACGTGAAAGAAAATTTGAATTATTTAAACTTTTTTGAAAATTTTTTTGAAAAAAAAAAGTTACAAACATTTCCAAATTTATTGCCTTTTTTTATCATTTTGCTTTTTTTCTGTTAAACAAAAAAATTATCATTTAAATATTTGAAAGATAAATGAAACGGAAAATCAATAAATACTTTTTAAAATCATTTTAAAATTATTATTAATTTATTATTAAAATCACTTTTAAATTAATTAAAATTTCTGACATATACTATTAGCTTATCAATCAATCATTGTTCGCACTTAATATTAGTTATTAATGATTAATGCTCAAATGTTTCGTTTAAAAATTATTTGACGTATTCAAATATTTTGCTGTAAATTTTTATACGAAATTGATCACATTGATTAGTGATAAGTGATAAATAATTAACAATGAAATATGAAAATGTTTGTCACAAGAATTTAACATTACAACAGACAATATTCATTGATATATGTTTTAAATATGTATGAATAATTGTTTAAAATTACAATCATTTAAAAATTTTTAAATATATTGCAAAGGATAAATGTTGAAGCACAAACCGAATGAAATAATCGATCCATTGATAAATGTTGAATGATTGCTGTTGTTGTTGTTGTTGTTGTTGTTATTGTTGTTGTTGTCATTATTAGTATTATAATTATTGTTTCCGTTTGCAATCAGTGAAATAATTGATCCATTGATAAACATTGAGTGATTGCTGTTATTGTTATTGTTGTTGCTATTGTTGTTGTTGTTGTTGTTGTTGTCATTATTAGTGTTATAATTATTGTTTCCTTTTGCAATCAGTGAAATAATCAATTCATTTGTAATATTTTCATTATTAATATCATTATTATAATTATAATTGCTATCATAATTAGATGATATGTTATCATCTAATTCATTCAAATGCACACAAACAGTACAGAGTAATAAAAATAGAAATTTATTAAAATTAAATAAGGTAACAAATTGCCAGGTATGCATGATGTGAGTGAACATCGATAGTTGATGACGATGCTACTATATATGAATGTTAAGTGATAAACGATTGAATATGGTTAGTTGACAGTCACTAAAGATGGATTAATAAAATTCATTTTACCTAAATTCTTATTGAAAAAGATAGCATGGAAGAAGATGAGAAGGAAGATGGAGAAAGAATATGATAGATCATAACTGATACATTGATAAAATTTGATAGCAAATAGAAGACATCAAAATTATTATCAGCATTTTATTGTAATATCTTTCGTATCCTTCAAATTGATTATTATAATGACATGTCACCAAATTAACTAACTGTCTGCATACAGACACATCTATGTGACATTGAGGATATTGTAAAATGTTATTATCATCATTGATGTTATCAACAGTGATAATGTGTCATTGATTGGTTAAATTTAATTTAATTATAGTTGCTATTATATTTATTCATTGTTTTATCATTAAAATTATTAATACAATAATCGTTTTTTTTTTCCTTTTTTATTTTTATTTGATAAAATATTTTATGCTAAAACATTGATATTATACATTAGCAAAAAAAACTGATAAATGATTAACAGAAAAAAAAAATTATTATATTAAACGAAAGATATGCAAAAAAAAAAAAAAAAAAATGAAAGAAAAAGAATTTTAATTTTTTGCATCATTTTTTTTTTTTATTTAAATTTTTGGCACAATTTTTTTTTCTGTCTTTTTTTTTGTATCACATCAATTAACTTGATTTTTTCTTATCATTATTATCACTTTCAGTTGCAATATCATATGCCTTCTTGATTTCTTGCAATTCGGGCACCACTTCTTTCTTCATAAAACTAATTAATGCATTAACTTTTGCTTTTATAGCTGGAATAGCTTCCTGAAATTATTGTTTAAAAATTATTTAAATTATTTTAAACTGTAACATATGCTAACATTTTTATTATTTAACAAATTAATCATTTTAAAAAAAAAAATTTTACTTTCTTTTCCATTTCAAAAATTACAATTGAAATAGCGCAAAAATTCTGATTAATAATTTTTCCATTGAATTTTCT